AGCCTCCCACCACTCTAATTTTTATACATCTTCTCTTCAGCAGGCACCCAATCCACTACATGTAATCTGCTACCGCACACAGGTGTCCCGAATATCTGATAGGCTAGGATCCCAATTGTCAATTAAATAGCGCATAAACGAGTTCTCTACATGATAGGCTAGGATCCCAACTGAAAATGAACTCAACAAGAGATCTTGGAAGTTTATGTGCAAAGCATGTTTTGTTTTATAACTTTCAAATAACCTAGTAAATCGCAGCCAACCCACAATTTGCAAATTTCTGCTTCATGGTATAAACTTGGGAATTCACCAAAAAATTTGGAAAACCAACCATGTCTATCCCTGGCCCATCAATCAGCGGTTTCGGGTAGTGCCCCCACAGAACGAGGTAAGAGCGAATGACCAATCGACAAGTTCTCTTCTTTATCTAAGACCAAAGAACAATACTTTCACTTTCCATTTCTCAGGAAACACATGCTTAGAGCTATAAGAAGAATGTAATGTACCTAGGTCGTCACACAAGACATGACAGGTTGCACCCAAGTACTTGCTCTAAATGCTTCGCACATATTTAGCTGGTGAGCATCGAAAAAAATGGACGATGAATATTTTTAGGTTCTTGACAAAAGGTTCACAAAGGGCCACCAGTCTGATTTCTTTTTATCATATTATCTTTTGTTGCAACAGCCACATACCAAATTATCCACAACAAAATTTTATTCTTCAGCATAGTTTTAGCCTTTCAGAGGTGTTTAAAGGATCTATCAGGACCCACATCAGATAAGTGCCTATATAAGGTTTCGATAGTAAACTTTCCACTCCTAATCCATTTCCATCTAGGAGAGTCATCAGTTCATGACAAAGTTCATATTATTCGGCATTTCTCTCAACACATTCCTAAGAAACATTTGGTCCTCGGTCAACCATGTTTAAAAGACAACTCCACACACTGCTAGACATTTGCTTTACAATTTTGGTAGTTTCATTACAAATCAAAAACAACTAAGGGAGTTGGTCCTTCAAGGATTTATCACCACACCAAACAGCATTCCGAAGATTTGTCTGTCGACCATCACCCATGGTCATGCTCCTTCTCTCAGGTAGAACCGTTTGATTTTCAGCAAATCATCCCAGCAAAGGCGAGTCATTGATTAAACTATCAATATGATATATGCCATTCTAACCTCTATTTTCTTAACTATTTCCTGCCACATTCTCTCCCCCCCCCTCCAAATTCCACTACCATTTGCAAAACATGCTTATGTTAAACCTTTCTAAGTTATGAATATTCAACCCTCCTTTCTTTTTTCGCCTACCTAGCTAGGACGGGGCATCTCGCCATGTGATATTTTCTCTTAGTTTCACTCTCTTTGCAAAAAGAATTTCCTGATAGATTTTTCTATCATCCCAATATTGGCTTTAGGAAATCTATACATAGAGAAATGATATGCAGGAATGTTAGTCACACAAACTTTGGTTCTTATCACCCTACCACCCAGGGATAGATTTCCAGCCTCCCACCCCTCTAATTTTTATACATCTTCTCTTCAGCAGGCACCCAATCCACTACATGTAATCTGCTACTCCAGACAGGTGTCCAAAATATCTGATAGGCTAGGATCCCAATTGTCAATCAAAGAGATCGACATACATCTGCCCTCTCTCATCATCATGTAAAACCATTAGACCTCACCTTTTTTTGAAAGTTAATTTTCAAACTACAATGTCCATTGAGATATCGGACGACACCGTTTAGTGCATGTAGAAAGGGTTATTGGGGTGGCTAATTGTCTTGGCAAATGAGTTTTTTGGGAAAAAAAATTGCGGGAAAACTTCCGAAGTTTTTTGGGATAAAATTGATAACTAAAGAAGTAAGTTTGTAGAATACCTAAGGATTAGGGTTTAGGGCCTTGGGAGACATGATTGACTTAGCAAAGACAAAATCCGAAATAAAATCTCCGGGTAGATCTTTCTTTTAGGAATACTATATAAATCGGATACAACAATTGACTATACTTTGTACTCTCTTCATCATTCTTAAGTGATTGAAGTTCTGTACTAAGTCAAATTTGCTTAAGTTCGTACTATGTGAATTTGGTATTTCAACATGTCTTCTCATAAAATCTTAAACCTCAATTATTTTGGAACGGAGAGAGTACGTACATGCCCTTGCGGGTAATACAACCATGCTAGTGTAGCACTGTAGTAGTATACCATAATTTTTGACGTGGAAAACAAGTGTAGTTTTTTAAAAGGGAAAAGAAATGAGATTATCGCGGAAAACAAGTGAAGTCCCAAAACAAAAAAAAAATAGCAACGACAAAAAGGCAAGTTCGGGTCGTTGATCGAGAAGTGCTTGTCACTAGGACTGCCGCTTTGCTTTTCTCCCCCTAGCAACGCAACGGTACAGTCTCATCAGTCATCAGTATAGGCGAGCTGCTGGTGGTGGTGGTAGGCCACTCACTGTGGAGCGCCGTGCCGTGCCGCGGCAGTTTTTAATCACTGCTTACGCACTCGCTTAATCCCCGCAATCAAACACGGCACGCAGCAAAAGGAGGAGGAGAAATGATGCTCCCCATGAAGTGAAGTGGCTAAGCTTAGCTTAGCAAAGCTAAGTGATCGATCGTTCTGTTGGAGTTGTGTCGAATATAGTGTACAAGGTAGGTTATAGTTGGACTTGTAGTTGTATCGTGTTTACATAGAATGTGGAGTCGTGTCCTAGTAGGACACTTGTAGGCCTCTCTTATATAGCGGGGGTAGACACACGATGTAACCTATGCCAACATAATAGCACAGACGCGCAAGGGGGAGCCGGCGGCATGTGCCGGCGCCTGGGTGGCCGGTGTGCGGTATTGTGACGGTGTCACGGGGAGGAGCGCTTGTAGTCAGGCCCCGGGGATGTAGCCATATAGGTGAACCTCGTTAACAAATCTCGGTGTCGGGCTCGTGTGATTGCTTGGTCCTCGGATTATCGACGGTATGCCTCGGATTTATTCTAACACGATCGGCCCATTGGAGGAGAAGCATTCGTTCGTGGATCAGGCAAAAAATATATAAAAAAGTTGGAAAAGAGGAAAGGTGGAAAGCGGAACTGTGCTAGTACTGAGATTTACTTTTAACCTTTTTATTTAATAACTCATGGGATTGATTATGATCAAGTTCCCCATTTATTAGCGTACCAGAAACAGCTTGAGCTCAATAACAATAATGTTTTTCTAAAATCTAAAATAAAAATAATCCCCATTTGTTTTATTTTTTTCATTCATCCAGGTCAGACGCGTCGCGTAAGAAGAGTTTGGTCCATCACAGCCAGGCAGGCGCCGAGCAACGTTGCTTTCATCGGGTGAACCGCGCGAGCGAGACCGAGACCCGTCCCCGTTTTCCTCCTCCCCTGCCTCTCTTGCCTTCCCCGCACGCACGGCAAGGGCACGCCCGCCCTACGCGATCGCGGCCTCGATTCAGAACCCCTTCCCCGGCCGCGACGATCTCTTCCCCGGCGAGGCGGCGCCGATTCTCCGGCCGCGACGACGAGGTCAGCATCGGGCCCGCTTCCCCTTTCGTTCCCTTTGATCCTGTCCTCCCGTCGATTTTGGGTTCGGGGTGCGCCGTGTTTTTTTGGGGGGAGGGAAGGGAACGATGGAGGGAGTCGCGGGCGCTGGGGGCATTGTTCCGGGAGAGAGAGAGGCGAAGCCGCGGCGGCCGTGTCCCGACCGGCCGCCTGTCGTGTCGGGGCCGGCCGGCCGGCTGGGTCGGGGCTCGCGAAAGCGGCCGAGATGTCGCATGAGTTCATGTCTCCTCCTCCTCCTCCCCGGCATCAGGAAAATAAATAAACAACGGAACTCGCCGCCGGCGCCGATCGATCGCCTCCTCGAGCCTCCAATCAGATTGGAGGATTGGAGGACCATCCTCGTAGAGTATATTTTATTTTACTTATCAGCCTCCGGCGCGTCCGTTTCCTCCCTCGCAGCGCTTGACCCGCTCGGCTTCCTCCCCTGACTGCGACGAGGAGGGAGCGGGGAGCAGAGCGGAGGAGGCCCCGCCATCTGCCGCACGCGCGCGAGCTAGCCGTTGCCATCGCCTCGCTCTGGCTCCAGCCCAACGGCAACATTCCATTTCTCTTTTTCACACCTTTTTTTACCACCAATTCTTAATGCTGTTTACTACCCGCCAGAGAGAAAGAGAGAGCAAGCGATATGGCCCACACTCCCACTTGCATTGATCCTCCTTAAATTAATTTCAGAGTACACTTAGTTTAATTACCCCTACGCCGCAGCGCAGATTAATGTGGGCTTGGGTGTAGTCGCAGTACGTACTAATCATCGCATTCAGTTGCAGTTAGTCGCGTCGCCCGTCGTCCTTAACCCCAGCCAAGCCAACCAAGGAAGTGGTGGCCTCCCCTCCCGCCCCCATTTACAACCAACCCCCTCCCCCTCTCTCTCCGCTCTCTCTGTTTCTCTCTCTCTCTCTCTGCGGGGGCCGTGGCTCCGCCATTACTCGGCTTGCGGGAGCTGGGCAGCGCGGCCGTGGAGTTCCCGTGAGCTCCTTCCCTCCCTCCCTCCCTCCATCAGGTCAGGCGGAGAGCACCCCCTGAGTCACTAGTCCCCTTCCTTCGCCACCACCAACACCAACCCGCTCCCCTCCCTCCCCCGAAAGAGACGCCCCGATTCCTACGACGCGTACGTAAATTATTACTCCTCCTCCCAAAGGTGGGAGGGGAATTCCATTCCTCCCCTCCGGAAAACAACCTCCCGTCCCCTTTTCTTTTCTTCCTCCACCCGCCGAATCGCGCTCCGCTCCGTCGCCGATCTGGTCCGAATTCCCGTCCGATTCCGCGGGATTGATTTCTTGGTTGGTTGCTGGTCCTTGTCTGAACCGCATTGGGTTGTTTTCTTGTGCAGGCGCTGCCGGGCGGATTGCTGCTGGCTCCGTGGCGGCGCTGTCAATGCGGGTGGCTCTGACGAACCCCGACCCCGACCCCGGCCGGTGGTTGCGCTGCGCGGATGGGGGACGCCTGCGGCCCGCGGAAATCTGACGCCAACGCCCACGACGACCTGCCTCCGGCGGTGACCCGCAGGCCATCGACCCCGCGGCGGCACCCCTCGCCGAATGCCGGTGCACCAGCCACCCCGAGGCGGCACCCCTCGCCAAATGCTGCCCCCGCGGCTCCATCCACCCCGAGGCGGCACCCCTCGCCGAATGCCGCTACGGGGGTGGCTGGGTCGCAGGGGAAGAGGTCCCAGTCCACCGACCGGCGGTCCGGGAGCCCGGCGAGGCCGGCCTCCGGCGGCGGTTCCAGGGCGGCCGCGCCGTCCAGGATCTCCGCCCAGACGTCGCCGCCCTCCAGCCCCTCCTCCTCCTCCTCCAGCTCCTCCACGCCCGTGCGCGACGCCGTCTCCGACACGCAGAGCGCCCCGAGGAGGCTGTCCGGCGGAGGCGGCAGGGCCCCCGACGGGCTGTGGCCGTCAATGCGGAGCCTCTCCTCCTCGCTCCAGCTCGAGCCCAGGGACCGGAGGGCCGCGGATCAGGCCAGGGCGAGGGACGCGTCGGCGGCGGCCGACAGGAAGAGGAGCCCGATGAGGGGGCGGAGCGGCGGCGGCGAGCCGCCGGAGAACCCGCACGCCAGGGTGATTGACCACCACCGCTGGCCGGCCATGATGGGGGGCAGGGTGTCCGGCAGCGCCATGTCCAGGAGCGTGGATCTCACTGACAAGATGCACAGGCCACGCGGCGGGGCTTCGCCCAAGAGGACGGCGTCGATTTCATCCGCTGCAAGCGCCCTGTCAAGAAGCATTGATCTCGCCGACAAAATCGACCGATTGGTCTCCTCATCCAGAGGGGAGGAGTCACCTAGAAGATCCTCTGCTTCAAATGGCACAGCTGATACATCAAAAAGGAGCATCACTGATGGTAAAGATGCCAGACCTGCAGCCATGGCAGTTCCATCAAGAGGGATGATTTCTCCTGTGAGAACAGCAAGGGCCCTGTCCAAGAGCATGGATCTTACTGAAAGAGATTACAGTATGCTCTCCTCCGCAGTGTCAAGTCTCTCAGTATCAAGTGTGTCTAATGCCACATCGCAAACCACAAAATCTTCTGAGAAGCCGAATGGACGTGCTTCTTCCCCAGCCTTGTCACGGGGACATTCACCTAGAACATCAGCAACATCTGGCGGCAGCATTGCCGGTATATTGAAAAACATTGATGCCCCTGAAAAAGATAAGAGACCAGCTTCATCTAGAGGGACTTCGCCAAGAAGGCCACTTGCTTCTGATGGTGTTAATGCTATTGTTAAAAATATGGATCTTTCTGAGAAGGATAGCAGGACAGTCATCTCCTCGGTTCCATCTCGAGCGGTATCTTCCCCAAGGAGAAGACAGGCTTCTGATGCTATTGATGCTATGCCAAGAAGCTCAGATTTTCCTGAAAAAGATAACAGACCATCCACATCATCTTCATTGCGTGGGGTTTCTCCGCGAAGAAGGCTTGGCTCTGATGGTTTCAGTGGTATATCAAAAGGGGTGGATTGTGCTGATAAAGCTAGCACACCATCCACCTCATCAGCTGCATCGCGAGGTGTTGCACCAAGAACTCAAGTGATATCTGATTGTGTTGGTACTACATCAAAGGGCAAGGATTCTGCTGATAAAGATAATAGACCATCAACCTCATATGCTACATCACGAGGTATGTCACCACGAAGAAGGCTTGCATCTGATGGTATTAGCTCCATTTCAAGTAGCATCAACTTCGCTGAAAAGGATGGAAGAATTGTGGCCTCTTCAGTTGCACATCGTGGGATCTCAACTATAAGGCGTCTTGCGTCTGATGGTGTTGATATTATACCAAAGAGTATGGATAGTCCTGAGAAAGATGTCAGACCCTCCACTTCAGACGGTTCAAGAGGTCTTTCGCCAAGAAGAAGACTTGTCTCTGATGGTGTCAATGTTATACCCAAGCGCATGGATCTTTCGGAAAAAGATACCAGACCTGCCACCTTGTCAACTGCATCACGGGGAGTTTCACCAAGAAGAAGACTCGCCTCTGATAATGTAGAAGCAATGTCAAAGAGCTCAGATTCTGTTGAAAAAGAAACAAGATCATCCGCTTCGTCGGTGGCATCACGGGGCGTTTCACCAAGAAGAAGACTTGCCTCTGATAATGTAGAAGCAACATCAAAGAGCTCAGATTCTGTTGAAAAAGAAACAAGACCATCCACTTCATCAATGGCATCACGAGGGGTTTCACCAAGAAGAAGACTCGCCTCTGATAATGTAGAAGCAACATCAAAGAGCTCAGATTCTGTTGAAAAAGAAACAAGACCATCCACTTCATCAATGGCATCACGAGGGGTTTCACCAAGAAGAAGACTCGCCTCTGATAATGTAGAAGCAACATCAAAGAGCTCAGATTCTGTTGAAAAAGAAACAAGATCATCCACTTCATCGATGGCATCACGAGGGGTTTCACCAAGAAGAAGAATCGGCTCTGATAGTGTAGAAGCTATATCGAAGAGCTCAGATTTTGCTGAAAAAGAAACAAGACCATCCACTTCGTCAGTGGCATTACGGGGGGTTTCACCAAGAAGAAGACTCGCCTCTGATAGTGTAGAAGCTATATCGAAGAGCTCAGATTTTGCTGAAAAAGAAACAAGACCATCCACTTCATCAGTGGCATTACGGGGGGTTTCACCAAGAAGAAGACTTGCCTCTTATAGTGTAGAAGCTATATCAAAGAGCTCAGATTTTGTTGAAAAAGAAACCAGATCGTCCACTTCGTCAGTGGCATCACGAGGGGTTTCACCAAGAAGACGACTTGCTTCGGATGGTCTCAATACTTTATCGAAGAGCACTGATTTATCTGGTAAAGACTACAGGCCATCAACCTCAGCAGCTGCATCACGAGGGACTTCACCCAGAAGCAGGATTGCCTCTAATTCCGTTGATGCCCCGTCAAGAAGCATGACTTTTGCTGATAAAGAGAGCAGACCCTCCACCTCATCAGGAGCATCACGTGGGACTCTACAGAGAGGCGTGCTTGCTTCTGGTAGCATTGTGGATCCTGTGGACAATGGTAGTGAACGATCCACCTCATCGGCTGCATCTGGTGGGACTTCAGACAGTAGACTTGACAGTACTGATGCTCAAGTAGAAGCCATCCAGTTTGCTGAGGAAGTTAATTCAGTAACTCCAGATGGCTGTAGTGATGATACTTCAGAAAGCATGTATTCTGGTAATGTAGGCACAGATGCAGCATCCTTGTCCATTGCGGTGCAAGATAGGCAACCAAGCAGATCTGTTTCTGATGTCAGTGAGGATATGTCACAGAGTGTGGATGCAACTCAAAAACATAACAGAGCCATCTCGGTAAAGGTTCCATCTCGAGGAACTTCTCCAAGAAGGCGTCTTGCATCTGATGGCATTAATACTATGCTCAAAAGCATGGATTTTGCTGAGAAAGATAAGAGACCCATGACCATGTCAGTATCATCACGTGGAATGTCACCAAGAAGAACAGCAAGAGTGGACTCTGCTAGTATAATGTCAAAAAGCATGGATTTTTCTGATAAGTGTAATGGACAAATATCTTCAATAATTCCATCGCGAGCGGTTTCTACACGAAAAATACTGGGACCAGATGGTGCTAATGCCATGTCGAGAAGTGTGGATCTGACTGATAACTTCAGACAACCAGTCTCTTCAACAGTGCAACCAAGTAGAGTTTCACCAAGGAAGATGCCTTATGCGAGCCCAGGTTCTGCCAATGGAAATGGAATTCAAGAGGAAAATGCCAGTTCAAGTCCAGATGCACCTTCAAATAATTCAGAAAGATTTGCACCTCCAAAGCAGTTGGCAAGGACACTGTCTTCACCATCACGTGGTCTACTACGTCCTTCATCACCAACCAAGGCTTCATCAACATCATCACTTGCCTCTAGGAGGTTGCCGAGCCCATTGAGGATTAGACCTTCAACACCTGTCTCACCATGTAGTTCTGGTAGATCCGATTCCCCCTCTTCTCTTCTCAACTACATTGGTGATGCAACAAGAGGAAAGAAGAGCCCAAGCCACATGGAAGATGCCCATCAGTTGCGCCTCCTGTATAATAGGAACTTGCAATGGCGTTTTACAAATGCTTATGTGGATGAAATGCTATCAATCCAGAAGATGGGTGCCGAGGTAAACACTCGAAAGTTACCCCCTTTACATATATCAGTGGCCATTTATTCTAAATTGTTTCACTATATATCCTGTCTTCTAGGAAATTTGGGAAAATGCTTTTTATGCTTGGTCTAAACTCGAAGTTCTTTTTTTACTGTATGATTATTGTCATTACATGTACATGAGCTTAGTTTATTTTTCTTACTTTGTTTTTTCATTTGAAGCAGACTATGCTCTACAGTGTATGGGATAGTAACTCAAGGATGTCTGACTCTATGGTTACGAAAAGGAGTTATGTTGAAAGGCTGAGGCAAGAGGTCAAATTGGGAATAGTGTTGAAACAACAAGTAAGATATGTTGAGATGTCTGATATTTTAGGCACTTGTTTCTCCTGATGGTATTGGTTAGTCTAAGATTTGTGTTATAGTTGTTCAATGTTTAATAGTGTAACTAACAAATGCGACATCTGTTTAAAACATTTGTGAAGTAATAACATTGTGGGCATTAGTACAGTGCATCAAGGCAGCAGCGCAACAAGTAACCTTCTTCCAGCGTATCATATTTTTACCTGGCTTTTTCAGAGTAGATAGAGAAGAAAAAAAATCCCGATCATGCCTGTTTTGGTTGAGATAGATTGTCGTAAAACGGTTGCATTGTTTGTAGAAATATGTTCATGGTACAGAAATGTGGGACACTCTACAAGTCTATATCTTCATTTCCAAACCCTGCCACTGGTTGGAAGACTAAATTTACATGTTCCCGTACTAGTATTTTTTTCCATTAAGCAAGTTTTATATTCTGTGGAGGTGCACAAGTGCTCACTGCTATTTAGCACAAGATAAAACTACCTGTGTTGAAGCTTGTGTTGCTTCATGAGTCTGACCTCAATATTGCATCTTTTGTTTTCATGATGCAGATGGACTACCTCGACCACTGGGAAGAGTTGCAAACAGATCATTCTACTTCTTTGTCCGGTGCAATTGAAGCTCTTAGAGCAAGTACATTGCGCCTTCCAGTTACAGGAGGAGCAAAGGTATCAACAGTTCGCTTTCCAAGACATGAACCCTTCTAGAACTAGAAAATATAATACTTGAAGTATGATGACTCCTGGAGTAAAGCTAACTTGTGTACATGCTAAACAAGTCTTCCGTTTGATTTCTTTGCTGTTTTATCTGTGAAATGCTTAGTGATTCTTATTGTTTACTTCTTGCAGGCTGATGTACTTACTGTTAAGAATGCTGTCAGTTCAGCAGTTGACATTATGCAAGCAATGGGCTCTTCTGTTTGCAACTTGCTATCGAAGGTAAAATAGAAGGCCTATTTTCTGCTACTGCTGCATAATTGGCAACTTTGGTAAAACTGATACGTTGCAGTGGATGCAAAATTACTTTGTTGTTTTCCTGAAATACTACCATATGAAGAACCTGTACTTTCCATTGTAATTTGATATTTCAATTCATACAAGTTTAATTATAGCATAGGTTAATAGGACAGTTTGTGATCATTGAACCGGTGGCTAAAATAATAATAATCTATAATTAGCATTGGCACACTGGCGTTTCTTGTGCCTACAAGGCTACAGCCATTCAGTTATTATGATTCAATGGAGGTCCTGATTGTTAGAGTTGTGATAGTGCTGTTTGTGGTATCATGTGGCTGCAATGATTGTGAGAGGGTGGTGACATTATGCTAGCTTTCTGGCCAGTCCCCTTCTGCCAAGCTGGTAGTCTCGTACTGCTAGCAGGAAAACCATAAGTTAGTGCATGGACAAAATTTAACTACTCTTATGCAAACTTGACCGTTCCAGATGATCTTTCCTTCCAAATCCAACATGTCAAATTATTGGAGATTGATGTTTGAGTTCTGGCATTACTATGGAAGTGGATGCTGATTTTCTATGCTTGCTACACTATTTGGATCAATTCATTGATTGGCATAATCTTCTGGCAATTAAGCATTTCTAATAAATAACGCGGTCAGGTGTCTAACCATTGACCTGTGCTCTGCAGTTAGAGGCTACACACTCTCTGGTTACAGAACTCTCAGCTGTTGCTGCTAAAGAAAGCACTACCCTTAATGAGTACAGAGAGCTCTTGGGTACAGCGGCAGCACTGCAGGTACAAGCTTGATATATATTTATTCATCTCATCATCATTTCACTTGTTCTGATAGGACTTGGGGATACATTGTCGAATGCTACTTCCATGTATCGAGTATAATTATTTAGCTTGTTAAGGGCACGTATGCATCAATGATATTTTTATCTGCTCCTAATGAGTATCCTTGCTGACGATAATATAATATTTTTGTACAATAACTGATTATCAAAGTCCCAAAAGGTCATAGGTGCTTGAAACGGTTAAATAAGATACTAACATATGCTGCGACACTGACTGAAACATAAGCAATTGTGTTAAATCTTTTCTATTTTGGCATGATATTTTTAATATTGCCGGATTTCTCATCACTTTGATGCTGGAAATGCTTTTTGAGTGGGTCATTTACCTCTGACTGCTATTTCTTGTTACCATGTGTTACATCATAAATCTATATCTGTGCAAAACCTCTTTATGATCAGTTTCCAGATAACGTAGTCCTATTGTTATTTTTGATGAATATCAAAAGCTACATTGTCACATGTCAGTAAGATAATATATAGGCTGCTGTTCCAGGCTTGAAGCTGCAGTAAAAAAGGGTCTGCTTTGCTGTTCAATCTAACTTGTACCATTATCTTCCTCTGAGCAGGTCCACGAGTCCAGCCTAAGGACACAACTCATACAAGAAACAGAGTGAACAACTTAATCCCTTGTATGTCTAACTAAGAAGATAGAGGTAACCACACCATTCATTAGTTCTCTGTAACCGTAACGTGAATATGTGTATCTTCAGTTTGTTCCCCACCCCCTTTCTTTTTCTTCCTCTTTGTTAGGTACCCCCCAAATTTCTCTTTTTTTTTTCATTTCTACCTCCCATGCCCTTTTCTATTTGTACAACCTGCATGGAAGAGAAGTGCAGCAAGCAAAATCATGGATTCACCATGACGACGGACCTGTCAGTGTTATTTTGTATAGCAGCTCACAAACTGAGGATGTCGAGGTTCCTAAAGCCTGTTGTAAATTATAGCAGCTCCTCTGCCTTTTGTTGTTTGTATCGCGGTAACAGTAGTAGAGTGTTTGGTACGTAGCAGATTATCTATTGCAGGTTCCCATGCCACCAATGGGAACATCTAACCTAACACCACAGGGTAGTAGATGATGACAGGTTCCTGGTACACCGACTTCATTTACCTTACACGTTTGCGGTCGCCGTTTTCAAGAGATATGGCGATGCTTTCTTGATATGTCGATGTTTTCAGCTCTATGAAATGTGTGGTTTGTCGGTCTCCTTTTTATTGCCCATTATAGTGCTGGAACTGTATGGTTTTTCTTGATTCTAGTGATGCTCTAAGGTGTTTATGCACATGGAGGTTGTCGCCTTTCGGTGCATGAGTGAATCTTGGCACACTTGAGCTGATGTTGATGGCTGAACATACTTTTGTCCTCAAAGAATGTATACAACTAGTTTAGCTGGGCCATAGGCCATCATCCTGCGTTGCTTAGGTTGACAGCTACTGTTTAGCCCATGATTTTGTTTATCAGTTGGAAAGGAAAATGGGTCCTCCTATGGAGGTGTGGGGCGCATGATGATAACAAGACATTTTTCCTCTTATCTTGAATTTTTTTATATTGTTCATAAAGATAGGAGATGATGCTATCACATGTAGATCAGCAACTTTTATCGCCATACCCTACAGGGAATAACCAATTGATTGTGTCCTTGATGATGCACATGCCTTGCTCACATCGTTCACAGGCTTTACTTTGCAACGGACGTGTTATGAATTTTTTTGGCTTAAATTGAATTAGAGACACATAACAGTGCACTTGACCAAATGAGCAATTCAAAACTTGAAGCGCGCGGAGAAAAATGTATTTATACTTACAAAAAAAAAATGAAAACTAGATAGAAATTGCTGTCCACAGTGAACAGCATACACTCCCTCTTCTTAGGCACTTCCAGCCAAATGTCAAAAAAATCCGAAAGCAACCATTTGATAAACAAGATACGACTACTGATCTTCTCCACAACCACAACACCAACTAGGATTTGCGAACGACAGCGCCAAAACAAAACCTTGCTGACAACAATGCCGCACCAGGCAACACAAGCGAACTTTCCTAACAATCACCATGACTGTTACTGACTCACTGCACGGTCCCAAGCCGTTTAGTAGATTCTGTTGGTGCAATGTGAGATGATGATTCGAGGCCCCAAAACCAAAATGTTCAGATGGTAGCCCCCAGCTTCTTGATATCACAGGGTTTTGTTCTGTCTGACTCCCCAGGGAACGGCGGTGGTGGACAGCTCTTCTGCTTCATCAGGCAAAGGACGGCGAGTACAAGTACAATAGCACCATCCTTGTATTTACATGAACAGTATTGGTACCTGCCATCATCAGGTAAGTGGATTTACCAGAACGCCATCAAACTATGATGCTGATATAGACGAGATAAATTGATAGTAAAATCAAGGGGATAAATTACAAAACTTAGGCATGAGATGGAGTGATGAATCGATACAGAATGGTCCTCTCAGAAATACTCCCTCCGTTCCTAAATACAAATCTTTTTAGAGATTCAAACAGTCCATTGACAGCCGCAATGTGGCTAAGCCTCTCAGGTGACGGGAACTATGGTGGCGTGGCCTCATTAGGACTCCCGGACTTGCTTGCCTGGTTCTTATACTTGGCACTTGAGCCTCATAAGCTTTAATTAACATTTTTTGCGGACCTTTAAGTACAGTTTGGATTCCACAAGCAATGGTTTCCTCAATGCATATCTACAAACTAGGATCAGGAACCAAAATATCTTTTGGCTACCTGGTGCTCGTGCTCCCTTTTAGCAAGAAAAAGTAGTGTGCGCGCCAGATAACCACTAGACAATTCCAATCACCAAGTTATAAGCTTCAGTGCATATCTATGAATCTGTACTTGATCATGTGACAGAGTGTAGGTGTTAGCTTTCTGAATGGATATATCATATACCTATGATCATCCAATTCTATCCCCTTAAATTTCTTTCACTCCTAGTTCCAGTGACCACTTTCAGTAAGGTTTATTGATGACGAATCTAGATGATTATCCAGTCTTGTGTAACAAAGAATGCCCATAAAGATATGGAGTATGCTTCTCAAAACCAGTTTTTGGTTCCTATGTGTAACTTGTGTTGTTCCAAATGGATATTCAAGTACATAGTGCAAATCAGGGAATCAAGAAAAGTACCAAATGGTACTAAACGTAATTGTATTAGACAAGATGCAAGACAATATATTGTTTAAAACTACAAAATACCTTCTACAATCAGAGATGGCGCCCTTGGCCTTTACAGCTAAATCAAACATTTGCTGAGACTTCTGTCTCAGGTTCCTTACTTTCCTCCAGTTCTATCACGGGCTCATCCCCATCCAAACTACTTCCCTCCAGTTGTTCGATCAGAGTCTCGTCCCCGTCCAGTTCATCGTCCGATTGGTCCGTCTCTCCTTCCACAGCATCCTTTTTGCTCACCCCATCTTGTTCTTTCTGTATAGCTAGTTTATTGGGTACAAGAATCAAATATATATTCCTCTCCGCAAAATTCTTACTTCCTTCTGTCGCTAGCTGAAATATGATTGGAAAAATTAAAAGCTTGAAACTAGCTGATTCAACTAATAGGTATATCCGTATATGCACTGTAGCCAAAGTGGAGAACAAAACAATTTGCGCAGAAAATAAAAGAGGTTTTTGAAAGAGATAAAAGGCAAATTTGTGCTCTTATTCTAGGCACAGTAAACATAGTATAACCAAATTACCTCACCAACATCAGTTTGGAATCTTCTGAGAAGTTCAATCGCTTGTTTTTTGTACAAGTTCTCCCGACCTTTCAAGTTTACCACTATCTTAACCTGAAACAATGGTGGTCTAGAGTAATAAGTTTAACCACCTAATAATGATGATGATGATGATAGTAATAGTAATGATAATATTATTAATAATTCCTAGGACCTTGTCACCGGCTTTAAGAAATTTCTTTGCAGCTCTAAGTCTCACACTGTAATCATGAATATCAATGTTGTACCTGCCAAAAAAATGCATAAAGACTCCAACATGACTTTAAGTTACAACCACAAGCAACAATCGTTAATTTACTATTAAGAGCCATCCGATGCCACAGGCAAATTGTATCTAGCAATATTTTGTTACTTCATCATGCGAAATAGCTCGGTACAGTTCCAACAAGTCTGTCTATACCATTCTTTTGATTCCATTATGCCTAATCTAACCAAGTTTATCAAAATAGTTCCGTTTTCAGAACACTTGAAGCATAAAGGCGAGTAACTGATTGATTCATTTGAAACATAAAGAACGCTAGTTTGCAATGTAACTTGGTAAATGAATATCAACATGATCAGTACCCCATTTTCAGCTCTTTCAAGCCCATGCGTTTTGCTGTAAAGAGTAGACACCAGGGAAGAGGCAACACATATTAGCATAGTGAACAAATATTTGGATGGAAAACAAAACGAGTTAGAAAAGTTTACCAACGGATCTTTTCTGCTGAACTCTTTTCTTCTTCTGTTGTTCGTACTTGTGTTTTCTGTACAAAACCAGTAAATAATTCTAGTAAATTCTGAAGGGCACAAATCTGGATAAAAGAAAAGATGACAAGTATTTTAAAAATACAAAATAAATAAATTATTAAAAACCAATAGTCTTGCTAAGTGAAGACCATGTATATATAGATTCGAACCGAGGGACTGTCTGCTAAGTGAGTAACTCTCGACCTTACATAGGGAGAAAAGCCTATTATTTGATCGAACCTGCAGATTCCATGTACAAGTTTGACATAGAGAAGCAGGGTCTCAAGTAGACAGGATAGGACCTACAGGACATTGTTTACTTTAGTCTTTAACTAACGAGGTAATATTTGATATACTTATGACATAGCTGCTGAAACCATTGTGAGGAAACTTGTCAAGACCAAATGACATCTTGAGGTGTGCATCCTACACTATGCATATCCTTGTTTTTGAAATAATATGTAAACCTTATTTACTGAGTGCTTAGACATACCTAGAAGTGTACTATCAATTAACCTGATTTCGTAATGGAAATTAATCAGATAAGAAGTGAAATTGTAGGTGTTCACTGCAACATACTTGTAATCTTTCTCTTCAAAGAGTCGGAGTACTGGAGGATCTCCATCTAGTGACAATATTGCCTGAAATTAGAGAAATATAAACCATCCCAATTTGTGTAAAAATAGTGGCACTAGCTGAGGAAGAATTTGCAAATTAATAAACCCGGGTGGACGGATTTTCCATCTCCAGGGGAAAAGGCTATCATCTCCTACTAGATAAATCCCTAATTCACCTTTTGGGGCTTCTACTCTTACATAAAGCTCTTGTCTTGACAATTCAAAATTGGGCGAAGGTTTTTTACCAAGAAATTTATACTCAAAATCATTCCATTCAGAATTCTTTTCTTTCTTAAAGCGTCGGACTTCTAGTAATGCATGTCCTAACAAGATATGGCTCAAGTTAGTGTCTCGTTAAACATGAGTGCACCTTGCAAAGTTAGGGCTAAAGCAGAAATACTGTGATTTTTTTTTTTGAAGATTATGCTCGTTTCCATTTCTATAAGGGGTTTATTACTATGTGAGCAATATTATTAAATTATATGGTGTAAGAGAGTTAGGAGTTTTAAGCTATTCTGTTCT